TTGATCACACTTTTTTTTTAGTAATGAATTTTGTTAACTTTTAAAATAAACTTTTCATTTAATAAAAATATCAAAAGTACTATCAAAAGTATTGTTACCTTACTTAAAGTACTACTAAAGAACTACTAAAAATCACTCACCACTTATTTCAAAATACCAGTTGTTTCAAGTCCAAAAAGATCATGTTCTGCAATAAATGATAATATAAAGCAACAAATATGTATATATGTTACAAAACCCAAAAATAAAAATAAAATTCAATAACAAATTGCTGACTATTTTAACCAGCAAAATCAGAATCTTCATATTGATTGTTCAACAGTTTCTAAAATTCTAGAAAAGAAAGCTAAGTGGCTTACAATTAATTTAACACTAGCTAGCTCTAAAACTTTTCATCATAAAAAAGTTTAATATTCTTAAATTAAAATAGTATTAGGTTTATAGGTTGAAAATGCAAATGCTAATAATCTTATAATTTCAGAAATGTTATTTAAGAAAAAGGTTTTTTTTTGTACAAAAGCTTAATATTTTACATAACAAGATATCTTTTTCAAATAGTTGAATAGAAAGTTTAAGAAATGGAATAATATTCATAGCTATTACTTACATAGTAAAGCAAATAGTGTACTGTTAAAAATTCTTTCTAAAGAAAGAAAAATTACAAGAAATTTTGCAAGACTACACACTTGACAATATATTTAATGCTGATGAAACTGGTCTTTTTTTTCGTATAATACCTAATAAAATTCTTGTATCAGCTTTCACTTCAGGAACAAAACAGATAACTCAATCATTTATTTTGAATTGGAGTTTTATTATTTTTTTTTTTAAGTTTTAAAAATTTTTTTCACAAATTTTTTAGAATAAATTTCATATTATCATTCTTTTGACTACAAATGCTATTGATATACAAAAACTTAAACCACTTGTAATTAGTTTCTCAAAAAATCTTAGATGTTTTTACTGAATCAATAGAAATTTTCTTTCATGCAATTATTATACTAATTCAAAGGCATGGATGAAAAGTAATATTTTTGGTAAATGGTTTGAATATATTAATATTATATTTCAAGCACAAAATCAAAAATAATATTGTTACTTATAAATAATGTATCATCTCACTTCAATCCTGATAAGGATAATAATCAAGAAATTAAAGAAAGTAGTAATTTGAATTTATTACATATTAGAGTACATTTTCTTTCACCTAATATAATAACTCATTTACAACCTATAGATGTCAGAATTATTAAAAGCTTTAAAGCAATTTATAAGCAATATTATATATGATATATTCTTCATCAATTTAAAGCAAATGTTGATTTAAAAAAATAAGTATTTAATTTAATGTATTTATTATATTAATTTCTTAAATACTAAATATATTTAATAAAAAAAACAAATTGTTTTTAGAAATAAAATTAATGTTAAAGAAGCTATGAAATATGTTGCAAAAGCTTGGGATTTAGTAACAGCAGAAATAATTACTAATTATTAGTGAAAAACTAGAATTTTATCAATCATTAATAATGATGATATTAATAATATTAATAATATTAATAATATTTAACAAAATAAATTAGCAATTCAAGAAAACCAAAAGATTATTAAATATCTTTTGCAAAGATTTTCGTCTATTCAAAATGAATCTTTTTTATTAGAACTAAATAAATATTTAGAAATAATTGACTTGACAATTTTAACAAAGTAAGCACTAATCAATATTAAAATTATACATTTAGTTTTAGATGAAGAACATAATAAAGTTGAATTAGATGATAATGAATTTAGTAATAAAAGTTTGGTAATAACAATACAAGAAAGTTTTAACAGACTTAAAATATGGATCTAATATTTTAAAAAGCAAGATGACAAAGAATTTCATATGAAAAAAATGTGTATTTTTAGAAAATATATGAATATTATGCAACAAAAGTTTGTAGAAAGTAAAAAACAAAAATTTATTACAAGTTTTTTTATGTCAGTTGATATATAAGATGTGGATTAATTTTTTGTAATTGCATTATTTATTTCAATTTATCTGTATGCTTCTTATTCTCAATAATCTATCAGTTTTATATGTTTTACATAATCTAATAAAAAAAATATATAGAAGTGGTTAATCTTTATACAATCACAATTCTACGTGATCTCTATAAATATAACTATATAAAAGTTTCCTCTATATAATCACATATCAATATAAGTATACTATTTTTATGCGTTTAACTATGTAACTATATAGAGGTACAACTATAGTATTATCTTGAACTATATAGGAGTCAATCAGTAAAAAAAGGAGGAAATTCACTTTTTAGTCAAAAATTTTTTTATTGATTCACTCTGCTGATCATGATTATATAAACAAAACTAGCTTAATAACTAAAATTACTCAAAATTTGTAAATTTCACCCTTTTCTATTGGCTGTCACCTATATGCTTTTATTAATTTTATTACTTTTGAAGACCTTGATCTTGCTTTAGTATAATATTAAAAATTTAAAGATAAGGTCTTTTATTAGATAGATCTATTATAAAAAATGTGAATTTTCTAACTATAAATTTAAAGACTATAATATATAAATTACAACAAATCCATATAAATCTCTATATAATTATTTCAAACTAAAATAATATTAGCTATTTAAATCCATTTTAGTTTTAATAATATAATAATAATTTCTAAATAGGTGCTCTTAAATTTAATAATAAGCAATTAAAATTAAACTAAAATAGCATATTTCTTAATATTAAAAGTATAGTTAAAAATATTATAGAACTATTTGATTCAATTGAAAATAAATCTTTAACTTTATCTGATAAGACATCTTTGTTAAAAATAATATTATCTTATATAAAAAATCTATTAAAACATTAACTATAAGTTGTCTTATTTAAAGACTTATGTTTAAATTTCTGATAATAATAAAAAATTTAATATGTTTATTTTAAATGATAAAACATTTGCTCATAACTCAGTTAATAATAATATACTTTTACAAACTCAAGTTTCTAATAATTTAATTCTACTTAATCAAATACATTATATGAAAATACTTCTTCAGACCTATTTTATGATATTTATTATATTTAATTTATGCATAAATTTTTATAAATTGAATCTTCAATTAACAAACTATATAATAAAATAAATTCTATAGTGATAGTTTTATATATAATTATCTTAATATATAATAATCCTAATATTTAATAATCCTTAATAAGTATTATACCAAATAAAATAATTCAAATGGATTATCTATAACACTTTTATTTAATATAAATCATATAAATATTCAAATAATCCAATTTTTAGTTTAATTAATAATCTAAACTTTTTATTTTTTATTATTTATAATATGAGAAATTGTTTATCAAAAATTAATTATAATAAATTAAAACTTTTTTACAAACTTTAATTTAGATATCTTTGGATTAAGTAAAACTTACTTCATAATATTATATCAATAAAAATTTATATGACAAATCCTATAAATTTATTTTTCATAATAATAATCATTTATAAAATTATCAAGGTATTAAATTTATTATAAGAAATTTATTATATTATCATATTTTTAACTAACAATATTTTTATAATATTATTTTGAATTATTTTATTAAAAATAATTTAATATTGATTTAATTTGCATTTTTAGTAAATAATTTATATGTATTTTTAAGTTGTAATTTACATTATAAAGATTTAAACATATTTAAGTTTAAAAGGATTTACATTAAAACTAATATAAAAAATCATAATAAAATTTATATAAAATATGATAAATTATAATTGTTTTTTGTTATAATATACTAATTGTTTACTACAAAAATTACTAGAAAATATAAAAATAAAATAATTTTTAAATTTTTTAACCCTATAAGTATCTATGAAAATTAAATCATACTTATAATATTTGATTAATTTGTGAAAATCATTTTCATTACTAATAATTGTGATTTAATAAGCATTAGAGATAAATCTTTATATTTTTTTTTTAAAGGTAATATTATTTTACAACAAATCCATTTAAAAGTAATATTTTTTAAATCCAAATCTTGCATATTTAACAGATTTCATCAAACCAATATTGAGATACTAATCTATTTATTCTTCTTTTTTAATCCTATGATTTTTTCTACATAATAAATCTAAAATTAAAAGTTACTATTCCTCTCTTCCTCTTGCTGTTCAAGTTCATTATGCTTAATATAATTAAAAAAAAAAATTTAGTTGAATTTTATTATTCATTTTTGAAATATAAATTAAAAAATTTATTAAAAGAAAAAAAAAATGACCAATCAAGCAGATCCCTAATAATCTAATTGAAAACGTTGATCTCAATCTCAAAGCTGATAATTCCCAATCCAATCTCAATCACGTGTTTTGTAAAGTCGAAAACTTTATAGTTTTTACACTCGGTTTGATTCCAACAGAATTGTTCGTTTCCTTTTATGGATGTTGCAATTGTTTGTAAACAGTCTATGTAATTATTCTGACGTATGTCTCATATATAAAAATATCAAAATAATACATAAAGAAATTATAACAGATAAAATAATTGTATCCCTCCTTTTACGCGAATTTATTTTGCCTATTAAACTGTTTAATCCAGGAAACGTATCTAAATAAATAAAAAAAATTAACAAAGTCAATTAAATTTAATAGTAGTTACTAATGCATACTTATTAGACGACTCATTCGACTATTAATATTTAATAATGAGCTTCTTTGTCTTCCCATTTCTTCTCTTGTTTCATATGCTTGTCTATAATTAAAATACAAATATTGAATTAATTTCCAAATTGGAAAAGGTTCCTCCGATCTTTTAATCAATTAAAACATACTCAATAACCATATCCGTCATTCTATGTGAGCTTTCTATTCTGCCTCTTTCGCTTAGAAAATAATCAGTTTCACTACTTGCCCCTGATTTAAAGGAACTATTAAAAATACAAAAATGATTAATTACGTGAAGAATGTTAAGAAAAATTAACGTTCAAGCTTGCCTGATATCTTCTCTAACTGAGCTCAATAAATCTGAATGATTTTTTGCTGCCTGTATATTTGCCTATAAAGTAAATTATATAAATATTTTATTTCATTATATATAATGATATGTGATTATTTCTTATATACTTTTGTTTTTTTAAATTCTTTTGAATAATCATATAATATATCTCTATGCCTTTGCAACATATGCATCATTGATGGATTTGTTGACGTTGTTGAAGGTCTATCTACAACTTCTGCCATAGAGTTGACAACTGAAGTAAGCTAAACGAATAAAGTTAAGTAAAGATTTAATTTAAATAAATAAAAATGATAGAAATAAAAGAATCGATTACCTTCTTGATTAACTCTTCTAATTCCAATTCCATAGCCTCGCTCGAATTTCCCGCCATGCCATCATTTTTTTTACTTCCAAGACCATATCCCACACTTCTCCCCACTTGTGCAGCAATTTTAGAATAACTGGTAAGTTTTTGCTCAAGCTCATTTTCTAATTGTCGAGCCTGTTTTCGCAAATATTCCCAAGATTGTTGCGAAATAACACTTGTGGAAAGATCAGTTGAAATGGGAAGAGACAAAGAATTATGAAGTGTAGCAGGTGATGGTGAACCAGGAGTTACCGAGTTATTCCTATTCATTCTTATTACGATAAATAGAAACTTGTAATTAAAATATAAAATAAAAGTAATAAGGTTAGATGTCAAAAGAATAGATTTTAAAGGGTTATAAAATTATAATAATCGTTTATGGACTTTATTACCTAATACAAAAAATTTTCTTAATTATTATGTACTTTCTTAATTTGGTTAAATGCGATCATTGTGTACTTGAATTCTTGCATAAACATAAAATTTGATCGGGTTCACTTGTTTTTTATTTTATTATATATTTTTTTTTATTTTTATTACACGAACGTGTGAAAGAAAATGGCTGATATAAAGTTTTTTTCAAGCTTGGCAAAAAAGTATGCTTTTAACAACTATTATTATTCAACAATTTATCCAATATTATGTTTTAATCATATTTTTTTAAAGGAGCTTTTTACGACCACATACCTCTACATTACCTGGAAGGTAACGAACGATGTGACTCTTTTGATTCAATGGCTAACATAATATTATTTAAGCAATATTTATGTTTAAACTTTCTAGTGTTAAACCGGTAGAATCAAAGACAGGAGCTACAAAATTAGTGATTGGTGCAAAATATTCTTTTGGGCAAATCGTATCGAATAGTTCTGATGATTTAAGGTATTACATTTAATAAGCGCATTTCATTCATTCATTCATTTTTTTTTTTTTTTTTTTTGACACTTATTAAAAAAACTATTTATAAAAGTTATTTACAATCTCGGTCGTCACAATCGCTATCTTCGCCTCGTCGCGAACCCTCCCCAAATCCATCTGGAAGTACGTTTTCTTCCGAAACAAATAACGAATCAGATGAAGATGATTTGTCCATGGATAAATTAAAGATTCACAATCACGCTAAAGAATCTCAAACGATTAACAAAGATCATGAAAAAATGTCAGAAATAAATTCTAATCGGTCGATATTCGTTGAGAAAAGTTCCATTGGACTCAAGCCTGATATCGCTTTATTAATTCAAGGCAATTCATTAGTCTAAAAATAAATTTTTTACGAATTTTTTAATGAATATTTAATAATGTTAATATTTTTTTCTCCTTTTAGATCCTATAAAGGCAATTAGTTCGATTAACTTTTCAAACGTGGTAATAGGCCGTTTAAATGAACCACTTGAAAGATGTCTTAATAAATTCAAAGATGTATTGCAAAGTGCAAATATTGATTTAGGTATGTGTGAATATTTAAATTCGTCTATTTAAGATCAGATACTAATTAATGTATTCTAAATGCAGCTGCTCTCAAAAAACAAAGTTGGCTGGGCATACCAGATGAGTTGAGATCTATAACATGGCAATTACTTTTGGTACATTTTAAGAATACTTTCTTCAATGAAGACTTTTATTTAATATCTCATTTTACAATGTTAGGAATATCTCCCCTGTAATGCTGATCGTCAAGTTAAAACATTGGCGCGAAAAAGGAAAGAATATATTGACCTAGTCTCGCAAACATATTCTAAAGGAATTGCTGGATTGAATCAAACGATTTGGCATCAAATTCATATTGATGTGCCTCGAACAAATCCCGGTATCGCTCTTTATCAATATGAGACTACTCAGCAGGTTACATCAAAAATAAACAAACTTTTTAATTTAATTTATGAATAATTTGGACTTATTTAAAATATTATTACTTTTAGTGTTTGGAACGTATACTTTATCTCTGGTCAGTCCGACATCCTGCTAGTGAATATGTTCAGGGAATCAATGATCTTGTCACTCCATTTTTCCAAGTTTTCCTCTCTTTTTATATTGGTTAGTACTTATTTTTATTTTATGAAAATTAAATTTCCACTTTTGTTTTTATTAATTTGAGTTTCATTATAGATGAAAATCCAGAAAATTATGATACTAGCAACCTCCCAAAAGATGTTTTGGATGTGATTGAGGCAGATAGTTATTGGTGTTTATCTAAATTACTTGATGGTATTCAGGTTGAGAATCTTAAGCACAATTTAATAAGAATTAATTGACCTTTTAAAAGGGATTTAACAATAATACTTGTTCTTATTTGATTCATAGGATAATTATACATTTGCGCAGAGTGGTATACAAAGGCAGATTAATAAATTAAAAGACTTAATTAACCGAATAAATGGTATAATATTCTTTGATTTATTAATATATATTATGTTATTAGTAAACACACTTTTAATATATATATATATATATTATATAGCACCACTTGCAGCTCATTTACAAGAGGAAGGTGTAGAATATATTCAATTTGCCTTCAGATGGATGAATTGTTTGTTAATGCGCGAAATGTCATTAAAGCATATAATTAGAATGTGGGATACTTATCTTGTAAGGAGAAGAATAAAAATAAGTTTTTGTCATTAGAGTGTTGGATTTTAACAAAAATAATTGTATAAATTTGTAGGCGGAAGGATCAGAAGGATTTTCTGTATTTCATTTGTATGTTTGTGTAGCATTTCTAAATATATGGTCAGATAAATTAAGGTCTATGGAATTTCAGGTATTTATGTCCAATAAAAAAAGTTTCTTTTTAAAAAAAAAAAATTGTAACAAGCAATTAATTTATTATCAATATTATAGGAAATTATGATGTTTTTACAATCACTGTCTTTACCAACAGCTTATTGGACAGAACGAGATATTAAGGAGTTATTAGCAGAAGCATTTAGATTAAAAAGTTTATATCATGAAGCACCAAATCATCTATCAAGAGTTTAAATTTAAAATTTTTGTATTATTATAATCTTTTTTTTTCTTTTACTTTTTGTATATTACCATCAGTACTTTCTTTTTTAATTTAAAGTAATTAATCTGTTTTTGATTTTACTTAGGGATTATATATTTTATATAACGATTAATAAAAAAAAAATCAGATACGTAAATAATACTAATATATACTAGTTTATTTAAAATATAAACTAAAAAAAAAAAAATTATTATTATTATATTTCCATACTCTCCAAATTATAAAAAAAAATTTTAAAAATACACATACCAAAATATATAAAAATTAATTTTTAGGATTAGTTTTCTCCCAATCTACTTGATATGAAAAAAATTTGAACTTAAGTAATAAAGAGAATGAAGCATGAGCTGCTATCACAATGATTAAGAATAATCTAGAAGTTTTCGAATCAGCTCTTGATATAACTGGATAAAGATTTCTTGCTATGAAAAATCCTGAAATTGCAAATCCAAAAATCACAAGACCCCATCGAACCGTGTCGGAAGGAATAACACTAATGATCTAAGATAATGAAAATATTTATAATGATTAAAATAAAACTTTTTAAAGAAATAAATAATAATAATAAAATGATAAATATGCATACAGAAATAGGCAACCATACAGTTAAACCATAACCATATAAACCAGTAGTATACAATAATGAAGGTCTACAGCCAAGATATTTTAATGAACCCCAAACAATAAACGGTATAACAAAAGTATATGTGTAAATAGCAGCAAAACCAAAAGATAAAATTGTAATATCATAATTAGGATTTTTCTTTGAAATAATAGCCGCAATTGATTTGGCAATTGTCGCTGTTACAAAAAGTAAGAATATAACAGTTGTGGATATCCAAAAAGGTCCTTAATAAAAAATAAATAAAATAATGAGAATATTGATAATAATTAATTGGAAACCTAATACAAAATTAGAGTGTACCATATAAATCAGGATTTGGCCCGACTACATCATCAAAATTATCTTTTGGAAAAAGACTTTTAGATGCTCTTTCAAGAACCTTTATAAAAAAGATCATATTTAATAAAAACGACGAAATAAAAATAAATAAATTGTTTATAATAAAAACAAACCTGATCGGTATCTACATCGAAATATTGAGCATAATATTCAATTGACCAAAAAGGGTATGAACCGCCTTGTGATTCATTTCGAATTGACTGATGTGGATCGAAAAATGTTGCATTGTTAAATCCTATTAAATTATTTAATAAATTTTAAATATAAACAAATAATTGTAATAAGATAAATTTGATAATAAATTGATAAATACCATCACCACTAGAGTTTGCTTGTTTATCTTGAGATATGTTACCACCAACTCCAGAAGTAGAAGAAAAATCTATAAGTGAAAATATCAGATCGAGTTAATAAAAAAATTAGAAACACCTAAGAGACACCTATAAGACGAAAGAAAAAGAATCACCTTGAAACTCTAGCTCTTCTCTTCGAACAGGAGACTTAGATTAGAGATTGGATAACTTTAGTATAAATAATTTTAGAAAATAACAACTTTCCATTAGACTTACTTCGTCATCCACTTCGACGACCACACTATATTCATCTCTCGACATTTTGCTTAGTTTCTAATCTCAAAAACTGTGAAATTTCTAAGAAAATGCTCGATACAATCCAATTTATACATTGGATTTTGGTGTTACTCGAATACACAATTAGGCATTGTGTAACTTTCAGACGGGGCAATCGTTAGTTGGTTTAAAGCAGGGACGATGATCTCCGGCGGCGAAATTTCGCAAAATCTGCCGGCGTTTATTTTAAAATCTGCGGCTTATTGTCATCATTCCGCGGATATTTTATTTATATTAATTATAATTTCTGCGAAAACAAAAATAATTTTATTATCCCAAAAAAAATTTAATTGCCATTAAAATACATCATATTTAATTTTTTCAAAGAATCTTCTGAAAGATATTGGCGAATAACTAGATACAGGTAACCAAATATAATTAAGTGTAATTTTTGAAAGAATTGGTAATTTATCTTTAAGATTCATCCAATATTTTCTAAATCAACCAAATTATCTAATTGCAATCTACAATAAATCGCTCATTCACAAAGCAATTCATTAGAAGGATTTGTTAATTCTCTAATAATACTATAACAATGCAAATTTTTCTTTCTAAAGTACCAAGTAATATATATTTAGGATCAAAAATTTGAGCAGCTTGAAAAAGAGGACATGCAACATGTGAAGGAATATGAGAATTAAATTTGTTTTGAGCTTCTCTAAAAACTGATCAAAAAATAGGATAAAATTCATATGGATTAAAATTATAAGAAGTAATATTAATATCAAGTTTTAAACCAAAATTTAAAGAATTATTATTGCTTTTAAAAATGCAGTAAGATGATAAAAGCATCCTTTTACTAAAGGAAATATAAGTTTGTTTTGTATTTGAAAAAAAATCATTATCTTGTATAAATAGTTTTGCATATATAAAAATAAAATAAATAATAATTGAAATACTAACATTATGAGAATTAGAAAGGATTTGTGAAATATTTTAAAGAGTTACATTCTTTAGATCATTAATTAATTCATCTTAAAAAAGAAATTTCAATATAGTAAAGATGTTTTTATATAATTAATCATTTTAAATCATAAGTTCTAACATGTAGAAATAGAAACAGAAATTTTACAATAAGAAAATGTACTATATAAACATAAATGTATTAAATATCTACATCTTCTTATTAGATTACAAATAAACATTTTTTCACTTTAGCTAAAAATTCTTTTAAAATTTTAAAAGAATCAAATTTTTATTATGTTTTACTATAAAAATTTAGTTAATAATATTATTATTTATTATTATTTTCAAAAATATTGATAATATTAAAATATTAATCATTTTGCATATTGAATACACTAAACACAAACTAAATATAACATATGAGGCCTTTGCAATAGAAAGGGAGGAAACTCAAAAAAAAATAAAAAATGAGTTAATAATAAATCTGAACAAATTATAGTATTTAGAACATTTTTGACTTATAAACTAAAATTTTAATTTTTTTTTAGAGTTTCTTCTCTTTCTATTGCAAAGACCCCATATACATATGTCAGAAAAAATATTATTAAAGCATTTTTTAAAATATATTAAAAAAAATATAGTAAAGATTTTAAATGAAGAGTTACAGTGGTTGACAAAAGAAATGCAACAATTTATTTTTAGCTTTAAACGCTTATAACTTATTAACTACAAATGCTAGAAATATAATTTTTGATTCATTTTAATTCTTACATTTTGAAAAACATCCTATAAAAATTTATTAGTCAATTAATAATGCCAATTTTATATAATATAAAAATCTACATTAAAAATAGTACTTAATAACTTTTAAGCTTAGAAAACTTTTTTAAGTAGGATAGCTATTATAAAACTAATACTGGATTCCAATTTTCCTCTGCATGATGATTTCAACAAGATAAATTTTGTTTAAATCAAATCATCTGATCAGGAGTTATCGCATAGTAAAGATTGATATTTTACTATATAAAATTAGTTAGAATTATTTTTTCATAGTAAAATACCAATCTTTGCTGCATGATAACTTTTCTAAGCTCAAAAGTTATTAAGTACTATTTTTAATGTAGATTTTTACATTATGCAAAATTAGCATTATTAATTGGCTAATAAATTTTTATAGGATGTTTTCGCATAAAACTAGATAATTTTTATAAGAATTTCATATGTAATTGAACACGTGAGCATTTAGATTAATAAACGTTAGATACTGATTGATCGATCTGTCAATTAATATTAATTATGCTTAAATACTGGGTTTGAAGAATATGTAAATGCAAATAAAGTCAGAGATCAACAGAAACTTAGCCTTCGCTGATAGGTCTGTAATGAATACTGTCTCACGTCTTCAAATTTAGGAACCCTTATATAAGTAAAAAAATGATTAATCAGTAATTAGTAGATTTGGGTTCACCGCAAGGGGGCGAAAGTGTCTAAGGTAAAAATAGACTGCATTATATACCGCAGTACTTTCTAAATCGAATCATCACTATGGTTAAAGATTAGGTTCAATTCTCAAGTGAATTTGACACTATAGGTATAAAATCACTATCTATATAAAGGACCTGATTCCACAGCCTGGTAGTCATTAATAGGGTAAAACCCTATAAATTAGATTGGTAAAAATAGGGCTTGACAAGCTCTATGATTGAAGTGAATCCTCTATTCAAAGGTGATAGTATCCAATAAGGTCTAGTTAGCTTTGTAATATGGAAATAACTTGTTGTAAAGTAGTTTATATTAGATGGTAACCATACAGAGATGTGCTTCTAAGTGGGTTATCATACTCCTTAAATAGGATCGGAGACTTATAGAGGTTACTGAACATGGGATAAAAACTTGTTCTTCTTAGGATATGCTCTCAGCTAACTCTCTAACCGTCGCACATTAATAGTAAAAAAAAAAAAATTTTATAGGATGTTTTTCAAAATGTAAAAATTAAAATGAATTAAAAATTATGTTTCTAGCATTTGTAGTTAATAAGTTATAAGCGTTTAAAGCTAAAAATAAGTTGTTGTATTTCTTTTGTCAGTCACTATATATATTTATGAAATGATGGTTATTCTATAAATAAATTTTTAAATTACTTTATATAAATAAATTCACAATATATAGAGTTTTAAATTATTATATACTTTAAAAGATATCAAAAATTTAATATAAAAACTAAAAAGACAAAGGAAATATTTTAATAATTCAAATTTAAAAATTTATAATTTAACTATTAAATATTCTTATAACTTTAATATATTATTTAATATATTTTAAAGACTTTAATACAAATGATTAAAGAAAAGCCTAATATATATTAAATAAAATAATTATTGAAATAATAAGAAGAATCAGAAAAGAAGTTTCAATTTCAATAATATAGTGTTATTTAAAATATTGTAAAATTACCAATAAGAAAGTATATTTTATTTATTTATTAATAATTTAATTTATAATAATATTTTTTTTATAGTATGATAGTTTTATATAATCTTTATTATGATAAAAATAAAATATAGAAATAAAATATAAATCAAGAAGGAAAAATGAAAATCTCATAAAGAAAAGAAAATCTAATCTAAAAAAGACTGACCCTGTACTTCCTAAATCAATTTTAACTTAAGCTAAAATTATCATTTTTTAGAAAATAAAATGAAAGAGTAAAAGAGAACTTGGCCATTACTACACCAAAAATTCGTCCAATAAGATCTAAGTTGCATTATAGTAAAAATTGAATTAGGATTGCTAATATTGTTAAAAATAGCATATAGAAGATTAAAACCAGAAAAAATAAAGTTCTCATATTTTTTATTGATGATAAGATTTGCAGCTTTTTTAAGGTTAGATTGAATGACATATCTTTTAACTTAAAAACTTTGAGTTTCTTCAAAAATAAAATGCATTAAGGAGAAATAAGCGGTTAAAGTTATAAGCATATATAAAATATAATTATAGATAAAATTAAAAAAGTTCATAGGAATAATACCTTTAATAAGAACAAAAAAGGAAGCAGTATTTGATAGGTTCTATTAGTGTTGTCATGGGATACTGATGAGACATAAATGGGATAGATAAGACATTAAAAACATAGTGTGAAACAGGTTAGAATATATAGCTAGGATATATAGCTAGGACAACAAATCTCTGAAACATCAAAAATGGACATTACTAGATTCTACTAATTAAGTCTTTTGATATTACTAACTTGTGCATTGGTAATGTATTTAAGAAAATCTTTAATATTTTGAATAAGCAATTTCATTTTATAATTAACTATAGAATAAAGTCAAATATGATAAAAGTCTTTATCTGCAGTATCACATTTAGAACATAAAGTTAAGAACAAAAATAAAGCTAAATATTTAACTTTAAAAACCTCAATGGTAGATAGCATTTCAAGCAACTGTTAAAATTTTTTTTTCAAATTACAGAGGCTATGTATATTGTATGGTTAGAGACAACATTATTATTTAGATAAAAGGATATAACGAATCAATTAGTTTAAATATGCATTAGTATTTAGAAATAACATAAAGGGTAATAAACTGTTGTAAGTGTTTGTATCAGTAGATATTTTTGATAAATTGTTTAGTTAGGATGAGAATAGGTTGCTGTTATATGTGAAAAAACATTTGGGAATAGTAGTAGTATTAAATAGTAGAGTAGAAGATACTAAAGCTGCTTTTGTCAAGATGTTTACTTTATTATTTAAAAGTTATTAGAGTGCACTTTAACTTTAAATAGTGAAATATCTAGATTATTAGTTGTAATCAGTTTAAAGAGACAAAACTAATGCACAAAGTTATTGATTTTTAAAAAGGGTTTAAAAGTTAAAGACTGTTTTAAAAGAAATTTGTATTTATTAAATTAAGATATTATGATAGCAGAATCAATATAAATTTTGACTTTGCAATTGGTAGAGGCAGTCAAGAATGCTGTAAAAAAAGCTGCAAATTCTGATAATAAAGAAGATGAAAAACTAGTAAAGAAAAATGTGTTAAAGGAAATTATTAGTAAATTTGAGTGTGTTTGTAGTCAAACAAACTTTATTTTAATTGAAGGAAGGCTGACGTCTTGTAAGAAACCATAGAATTATTTATTTATTATGGATTTAAATCAGATTTTATAAAAGAAACTTCTACTTATTAATAAAAGAGCCAAGATGAAAGTTGTAAGATATTTTTGATTTTAAAAATTAAATCCTCCTATATATTTAATATTATTATATATATTTTTTAACTTATTTATCAATTATTATTTATAAATTTTTTTATTTAAAAAATTAATTTGTAGATAAATCTAAATAATCAAAAGGAAATAGAAAATATCAAATAAAAATCGTTTATATTTTAAAATAGGCTGATCAACTGCATATTAAAAGTTTTTAAATAAATTGTATTTTTGATTGAATTAATTCATTAAATTTCAAAAAAATTAAATAAATATCAATTAAACATTTTCTTATATGTTCAATTAATTTATTGGCTATTGTGAACATATGTCCAATTAAATATCTATTAGATATTCAAATGTCTAATTGGACAAATAGTCTAATACTGCTCTTGATTATCTGTGCCACTATAATTGGTAATAGTAATATTGAGCTTTGGTTGAATGATGGAGTTGTTAGTCTCAAAATCACAGGAGTTATAGATCTTGAAATCTTAGATGGTATTCCTGGTCTTAGTCTTGGTAACTTTGATAGATTTGTCTTCTTGATGTATCTGCATTGATATTATAAAATGCTAAAATACTGTCATTAAAAAAAAAATAAGCAAATTTTTTTTAAATTTAAGATTTTAGGTGTACTAATATATTTTTTCGAATATGCATTAGAGTAAAACAAAATAAATACTTAGCCTTTTTCAGAATTCTGAGAAGAATTTTTCATGATATTTGTCTCCTACTCACACGTATCATACAGTAGTTAAAAAATAAAGCCTATGTTGAACGTTATTATAAATATGAATGCATAAAGAATATAAGATAATTTTTTTTGATGTAGAAGAAATCTTCATTATTTTTTGTAATGTTTGACGCAGTAAAAAATATAAGTATGACATCTACACTAATATAGATATTATCAAGTAAATCTATAAAATTTTGAACTAATCTATTATGCTTTTTCACATTTTTTGCAATCTAATATTCCAGCCTATCTATATTAACGTTGTTTATTGCTACTACTAGTATAATTTCAATAATAAAAGTTTTATTTACATCTAGTAAGTAACTATTGAGCGATAAAAACATGTTAACAATAAGGTAAGTGGCTCTTTTATTTCATCTAAAAATAATGGTCTATAATAATATTTTCGACAAGACCAGCAGCTATTTTAAAAAGAACATTTTGAGAATCAGAAGAGTAATGTAATATTTACAGTCTATAAAAAGCAGATTCAAGCGAATGTACATTAATGAGATGTTATTTTTGATCCAAATTTTCCATCATTTTCTTATGATTTCTAAAAAAATATCTATATTAATATAATTAGACTCATCAGTGCGCTTCGTGAAATAAGGTTTGTAATTAACACCTTTTTCATTTACTTATCTTGTAAGCTCATATAAATGTTCTATTTTTTGCGAAGAACATATTTTGATACTTTTTCTTGTAAATTCTGCAGAGGTGTATAATCTAATATAATTTATTTGAATAAGAATGAAGCATATGAGTATATAAGAATTGGTAACTATGATCTATTCTGAGATTCTCAATAACACATACCTAAAATTTCTCTTAATGTTCTTATATTTAAAGGATTGAATGAAAAGAGACGTAGATAACTTTGATAGCTTAGATAACTTTGTTAGCTTTACAGTTTGTAATATTATGACGAATCTTTTACAAATAAGCTTTTTACAATGAATAAATAATATAAGTAACATATGTTAGAAAAGACAGAGTAAGGTACTTATGATTTAAGAAAGTATTTTATTATGAAAAAAAATTTGAAAAACGTATTGAAAAAAAGCAGGGAAAAAATTTTTTAGAGAATATAATTAAATGTAGAAGCATCATTATAAATTATTTGATTGACTGTAAATAATACTTATTTGAAAGATCATATATGAGACAGACACAAAGCAAAAATAACTTACTCTTTTTAAGTAAATTTAAATTACTATTAATCTAATTTTAAAAAGAAAAAATTAAATTTGAGTTTAAAAGTATAATTAAATACTAATATCAATAAAATAAACTTCTATCTATTGTTTTATTAATTATTAAATATTAGTTATAATTAAATATTAATAATTAATAAAAATAATTTATATTCTATATAATGTTATTAATTATTTAAATAAAAAATTTAGTTAAATTTAAATTTAAATTTTTTATTTAAAATATAAAATATTATTAAAGAAAATAAGTTATTTTTATTGATTACAAATATTTAATTATACTTTATATTATAATTTAAACTCAACTAAATTTCTATTTAATATGTAAAATATTATTAAAGATAAATAATAAATAATATATACTCATTATATAATATTAAATAATAATATGTTATTTTTGATTGAGATCATTTGATAAATTCAGATTATGTTATATAAGTGATAAAATTTGATCATCAGATTGCTAAAATCAAAAATAGTAGAATACTATCTAAAGATTTATACAATAAGTATTTTATTATATAGATTTTCACGATTATACTATAAAATTAATTTATTTATAATCTATTTTAATGATTTAATATTTTTTTTCTACAAAACTCTTTTTTTTCTAATTTTAACATGAAAGTTTTATAAAAAAAATAAGGTTAGTATTGGCTGTTTACATGTTATTTAATTATATCATGTATTTGTAATTATTTATTTTATATTTTTAGTTATCTTTTTGATTATACTAAACCTATAAAGAAGCAAAAAGAATATTTTAAACAAAAGTCAGTTATTAAAAATACTCATTTATTAACAAACAGCTGAATTAAAAAATTTGAAAATTATTGTAAAACAGTTAGATTGGCTGGTAATTATAAGAATATTACTAACTTAAAAGACTTAAAAAAATAGGCATCTGATTATATTATAGTAATGAAACAACAAATAGAGAAGAATATTTAACATCATCTATAATTAATGTAATATATATATTAAATTAATTTAAACATGTATTTTTAATTACAATCAGTTGATTTACTTAAAAGCAATTTTCTGATTTATATTTAATACTTGATAGTAAATTAAAAAAATTAGCTGAAGTTAGTAAAAGGTATAAAAAAAGGATTTTTAACTTTTACTATTGAAGAATATTAACCGGTTAAAATGATTAAGCACTTGACTTTAGTCCAAAATTTCTCAGAACCTGATTTTCCTAGCAATCATAATTTTTTGTAAGATAATGATTTCTAGCATAATAAAACCACCTCGTTACAAAGACTGACAGAAAAAAATTGTATCACATCCGGTTTTTTCTTTCTATTTAAAACATATACATAATAATTTTTAAGCTAATTGCGATTCTATAGCTTCTAATCTAAAATGAAGACTTCTATGTTGTTCCTTAATATCATTTAATCCATACAAAATTCTTCTAAGCATTTGCTTTTCATCTTCGGGAAAAGGTAAACCCGGTAATTCTCTCAAGTCCAAATCTCTAGCCTCTTTATCTTGTTTATCATTAACAAAATGTGTTTCAATTAAAGCAAATCCAATCATTGGAATAAAAAAAATAATTCTTGTTAAAAATTTTTCAATATTTGCATATAAACGTATATGATTATGTCCAATAATAATACTTAATGAACTTATTGGTAGAACGAGTGTAAAATATAAGAGGTTAAATGGCGACGGATAATTGTATCGAGTTGGTTGATTGTGTTTTACTTTTCTTATGACTATATGTGCGAAATGTGCTAAATATTCTTCGGGGACTGAACGTCTAGTAGCAAATGCCGTCATAAAGAGTGGAAGCAAGACGGCAAATAGAATAACACTGACTGTAAAAACATAAACAGAGTACAATACGAAGCCAAATCTATTCTCCAATTTGCTCGCGCCCGGGAAATCCGGTGCACTATATATATTAGAATTGTTTTTTTTTTTATTAAATAAAAAAAAAAAGTAAAAAAAATCTATAAAAAAAATTTGAAATCGCTTACTTTAATATTCCCTTGACCAAAAGTGCGAAAATTCCCCATTCATTTTTGTCACCTAAATGATCATCATCTCCTTCATGACGTTTATGAGTGTTTTCAAGCACCAAAAATGATTGAAAGAATGCAATAAATGCTAAAGCTAATAAGATATAATATGACATGCTCTTCTTTAAGATTCTTGAAATTTGTGTCAACCATCTTCCAATTGGTTGAAATGCTTCCAAAGTTAAAAGAACACGCCAGTATAGGAATATAGGAACTAATGAGAGAGCTTTTCTATGGAATTGAGGAATAGAATGATCAAAACTTGTAACGTGTTTAATTCTAAGCGCAAAGTCGGTAGCTAAAATAACATGAAGAATAAGAGAAAGTATTCTTCGAAAATATAAGAATTCTTTAATCCCATGTTTTTGTAGCTACAAAAAATTAAACAAAAAAAAAGAAGAGATTATCATAAATTCTGAAAATAAGCGCAATTGTCGTAAATTTTAGAACGATAAAACTTACTGTCCGAATATCATTTAGTATAAAGGAAAAGACTAAAAGATACATAGATCCTTCCAAAAAGCCATTAAGTTCACGTATTTCGTTATAATTAGCCGCGACCATAGTATAAATTATCAAAAACATAATATATGAGAAAACGTCAAGTAAATATTGATTCCTGGGAATATTTAATAATTCTAAATTCTTGAAGTTTTCCAAGAAATTTAGATTATGATTTGGAATGTAATAATCAATTACGGCCAAAATTGGAAATGTACGAGAAATTCGGGGTACTAAGTGACCAGACCATAATGCCTAGGTACGAAAATATTAGAAATAGGAAGTCCAAAACATTATATCTCGCAATACTTTAGATATTTACATAAACGCACGCTTGAACTTCATTATCAGACAAGAAAATTGCGCCGCAATTGCCCATTTCGGAATAAAGCCTTGTTGCGAGATCTAAAGCTATATGAAAAAATGGAAATGAGTTATTCTTTGAAACATGGAATTGGGCGAGATGACTTAATAAATACCATTTTTGCGGTTGCTGATTTCATCATATTGTGAGAATGCGTATCGTTTAGTCAGTACTTTTGTGAATAAAAGATCCTGGTCATTAAATTTATGAACCCTTTGAAAGATCAATAATAGAATGGATTTTTCAGGATTTTGTCAGTTATGGCAAATAAACATAAATTTACAACCGTTTTTTACTTACAATTCTCTAGCTAATAACTCGCTACATTCAATCCTCTTTTTTCTCATATCCCTCAAAGCTGGACCAACACTATCACCTTCATGATGATCTATTTCTTGTAAACCTCTTGCATAATATAATGTAACGAAAACCATATTCGGATTACGTTTGCAACTCTCGAACACATAATCAACAACCGGCTCAATTACAATACCTTCGGCTACTTTAATCGCACCCAAAGGTACTAAATTTCTTATTACATCACGAACGATACCGAGATTTTCATTTATTTCTTGAAACTCGTGATTTGCATCGCCATTAAAAGATAATATCAATGAGTCACTATCGTTATTATCGAAACGTTCATTTTGTGACATGATTCAAATTGTAAATTGAAAAAAAAAGTTTTTCCCTATCGCTATATATTTAAAAATGAATTAATATCTTTCATCATCATGATGTATTTATGACGAGACCTTTATTAATTATACGCCATGTCACGGGTCAATTTGTGTTTTACACAAAAATTACAAAAATTATAAATATTTTCTACAAAAAAAAAAAAAAAAAAAATTTTGGTCGGATATAATCCGGTTGAATCATAGCCTCCTTTCTTAAAGCCACAACTTTTTGTTTTTAAATTGTATATCGAAATGTGAAATCATAGAACGATGGTTTGATTTTCATTTTACATGTAACCATTGTACAAAAATTTTACAAATATGTATTTTTTGTAAATTTACAGAGAGATAATTGTATATTTTTTTTTTTTTATTTTTTATTTTTTATTTTTTGTAATTGTAATATAATAAAAGACGAACAATGCCACCACCTACAAATTCTTGGCTTTCTCACAGAAACTTTGGAATTGTTATAGACGCTGGTAGTTCTGGTTCAAGAGTACAAATTTATTCTTGGAAAGAACATGGGTTTGTTAGACAAGTAAAAAATGCAGGTGAACTTCACATCTTACCAGCTATTGAGCGAGGGGATGAGTTTGGACTTAAATGGCAATTTAAAGTTGAACCAGGTATGAACGTTCTGTCCTTTTTCTTTCATCTCTTTTTTAACTTTTGGTTTCGCTTTTAATTAAATTCCAACTTGTGATCCTCTTTCTTAGAAAGTGAAAAATTATTCGTACAAAAAAAATTTCTCATCACATTATTAATTTTGTACATCCAATTATTTGATCTAATTTTTGTACAGGGATATCTACGTTTGCAACGAATCCAACAGAAGTGGGAGAATTACATTTGAAAAAATTATTAGATTTCGCGTTGCAAGTAGTACCATTGAACGAAATTTCACAAACCCCTGTATATTTATTAGCCACTGCTGGAATGCGGTTATTACCATCATCTCAACAACAAGCGATTCTTCAAAATGCATGCGATTACATAATGTTTAATTATGTCTTCAAAATTGGTAAATGCTCAGATCATGTACAAGTAATCTCAGGAGAATGGGAAGGAATTTATGGGTGGATAGCAGTTAATTATCTGATGAGTGGATTTGAAAATGACGGTGGAAAAGAACATATAATTCAATCACGACAAAAAAATGATTTAGGAAATTTTGATGATGATTATAATTCAGAGAAAATTAAACACACTACAACATTTGGTTTTTTAGATATGGGAGGCGCTAGTACACAAATAGCTTTTGAACCAAATTCATTAGAGTCAAAAAAACATGCGGATGATTTAACTAAAGTTACATTGTATACTTTGGACGGTGAAAAAGTAGAATATAATGTATTTGTTACAACATTTTTAGGATTTGGAACTAACGAAGCAAGGCGTAGATATATAGAGGATCGTATTCAAAAGTACACAGCAACACATGAACAGATTACTAATCCTGAAACGTCTCGCGAGCAACCGACCGTTTTAATTAAAGATCCATGTTTGCCAGTTAATTTACTTCTCACGGATACTTCACTTCCACCTCCTTATTATACCCTTCAAGGGTCAGGCTCTTTCAGTCAATGTCTTGAACTTACATATCCTTTATTAAATAAAACTGCACCTTGTCTAGACGATCCTTGTTTATTCAATGGCGTTCACACACCAAATATTGATTTTTCTGTCAATCATTTTGTTGGTATATCAGAATATTGGTATTCATCCCAAGATGTTTTTGGATTAGGTGGAATTTGGGATTTTGCGGAATTTGAGAGCAAAGCAAATGATTACTGTGCAAAAGAATGGGATAATATTGTGAATAATTATCAAAAAGGAAAAGTTTGGAACAAAAATGTAGATTTAACAAGATTAGAAATGCAATGTTTCAAAGCAGCATGGTTAGTCAATGTATTGCATGAAGGTATCGGAGTTCCAAGGATGATCGATGATGATCCGGGAAATCCTGATAACAAATTAATAGATAAAGTGAGGAAAGCTCCACATTTTCAAAGTATTAATAATATCAATGACGTGCAGGTCAGTTGGACTCTTGGGAAAATGGTTATGGAAGCGTCAAGTACCATTCCCTTATTATGGGAACCGCATCCACATCCTCCACCGCAGCCCCAAGGTCATGGTTTACTTGGATATTATAATTATTTAGTTGAATGGATGATCGGAATTTTAATCTTATTAATTTTATTGATTTTTATTTGGTTTACATGTTTGCGCAAATATGGACTTGGAAAAAGGAGGAGGATAAGTATTGGATTTTTATATTCATGTTTTCTTTCTTCGGTTCGAAAAGGGGCGAGAGATGGTGGACCGGATTATGGGAAATTGGAAGGAGGACAATTTCCTTCTACAGGTTTTTCCTCTTGGAATAACCGAGTTATAGGTTATTTTAGATGGAAATTTCTTCAATTATCTTCGCCATTTCGAAAAATTTTCACTAAAAAGGGAGAAAATTCAGGAGTAGTAGTACCAGTAACAATAGTACCAGGAGACGAAGAAGAAATGGTTCAACTTCGACAATCATCATCTATTGACGTTACTTCGAATTCAGCAGTTACGATTACTGAAACACCTGCCTCACCTACGTTAGAGATAGGGCAATCGCCTACAGAACAAACATCTCAATTTCCATCTTATTTCCATTCAACTCGGTATTTATCAAAAAAACGTTTTAGTGGAGATAGTGTAATGCCTAATGAAGGTATTAATAAAGGATTTTCGACTCCAGTTAATTTATCATTAACTGGATTACAGTCAAGGAATAGTAGCTTAACAAATCTTGGGAAATTTAAGGATCGTTCAGGAGTAAATACTAGTAGTATCAGCTTAGGAGGACAATCAGGTTCAAATAATGGAGGATATCTTAATGATTCTGGAATGTCTTTATCAAATAATATTAGTCCGAATTATCCTTTAGGACGTGGGTCAAAGTCAACCACCAATTTAGGATGGATGGGGGATGAACATGAAGATGGAGGAGTTGTTGAATATGAAGCCACAGAATTGAAAAATCCTCCAACTTCGGCAGAACAAACAAGTTATTCGACATCATCTACGAAATCATTTAGTTTTCCAATGTCAACATCATCACCTAGAAATTCTCTGTTACCTACGATTAATACTAATTTAGGCCATAATAGTAATAATTCTACTGATATGTCATCAGCGTCAAGTGTCGTAACAGGTATGATAGGTTTAAGTAGGCCAAATAGTCGAGCAGGAAGAAATTTAAGCATAGACAAAACTAATAGATTATCTGGTTCGAACTTTGAATGAAATCATTCAATCAAAGAAGGATTTTTTTTTTTTATTTATAGCTTTTCTTTTACACTAATATTTAATTATATCTTGGTTCTATTTTATTTTTAGAGAATCTATGTTCATTATATTATTATATGATTGATTGATTATTGTGAATATGATATTAAATTATATCGAGAAAAAAATTTCTTTACCCTTTAAAACAAAAGTGAGGATTTTTAGTATAATTGTTTTAATGGTGGTAATATCAAATTGTTAATAGTAGTAGGTTTTGGTTGAGTAATCCAAAATTAAAAAAAAAAACTATACTATACTTGCTTGTTAATTGTAATTTAGCAAAATACATACGGTATGAAAGTATTAAATAATAATTGTCATTATTTGTAATTTTGATTGGTAATGTACGCCCTCTTAAGAAATTTCGAATGAATAAAAGTTGACAAGACTTCATTAGAAAAACAGTTTCGACTTAACTCTGAAATTCAAAATTAAAATTGATTTTTATCAAATATGTAATATTTTTATAATATGAATGATTATAATTAATATATTGCTAAAAGTATATGCTTGGCTTGATATATAGCAGCCCAGAAAAAAAATGGTAGCGGGATGTCACATATACCTATTTGGGTGACATATAGTTGTGACAATTAGCATTTTTCTCGCAAAATAATTTCTCTGAATACTTAGTAAATTGAAGAACGACTGGGATGTGACGCGATGTGACAAATTTGCTAACCCCCTTAACTGATCCTCTAACTCTAATACTAACCCTAATAATAAATACCCGGCAAATAAAATCCGGCTACCATTTTTCCTTGATATATCTCAATATGAATTTAAAAGTATATTATTGTATGATTCGTTAAAATACTATCAATTTTCGTATTAATAAAAGGATTAATGAGGTAAAAATATTAATATTAGGAAATTGATTATTCCCACTTTAAAATTAATTTTTTTTCAATAGAATGTGATAGATTTGAATTTGTATTTGATTTATATTAAGACCATTAATAAAAAATATAATAAAAGCACTTCAGAGTGACCTATTGATTTAAAGACATTAATTAAAAAAAAAATGACAATGCATCTTTTATATAAAAATGTAAATGCGTTCTGATTAAAATATAGAAACATAAAATTTGGGACTCTTCTGGACCGTTCTAATCGGCTAACTGTCTTATCCACTAAAGAAACGAATTATATTGACAAGTTTCATTATTAAAACTTGTAAAAATAAGCTGAATCGAAAAACAAAAGATAAAAATTTAAATTGATGTATATTATTCTATAATTTTAAAAAATTTTCATTTCCTTATTGATCTGTCAAACATATATGGAAAAGTTAATTAAGCAAGAGAAAATGTTAAAAAATACGGAATATCCTTAATTTCTAACATTTTCGCTATTCAGATCGATCTTTGAATATTTTGTTTACAATGGCACAAATGAAAAAGTTTTTGTTCCCTTAAACGGCAAACTCGCTTGCAGCTTTTTAATTATTTTGTCAACTAGACATGTAAACTTAATACTCAATCAGTCAAGATCATCGGATATTTTAGGATATAAAATTGCATATCAATTTAAGTAAAAATATAAAAAAATTTGAACTGTTGAATGTTTTACATCTGTTCTTTTTTTTTTTTTTTTCGGTACACAATGAATGCAATTGTGTCTCTTGTACACTTTTGTGAGGTTCATGGACCAAGTGTAATTTTTTGTACACAGGCCTTTCATGCAAAAGATACTTCAGATCATCTTTCTGTTAGTAGTGAAAGAAATTCTTTAGTAGTCCAACCACATTTGGATAATTCTAAAGAAACATTATCGAATAAAAAAGAACCTTCTATAAATTCCAATAGACCTGCACCAGCATCTTGTGCGTCATGTGCATTTTCATTGCCCCCCTTGGATGCATTAGGTGATGCAAAGCCGATACATAATTCTGAAATAAAAGGTTTCAAAACTCAAGACGAAGAAAATCCTTTGGTAACTTATAAGGGTTCCCGATATCCACAAGAACAACAACTATATGCTGCATTAAGACAAGCATGTGTGAGAAGGTAACATGTAAAGTGTACTTACTTTATTTTATTTTAGGCTAAATTTAAATTATAATTGTAAAATTTAAGTTTGAGCTGCGAATTTTGCCAAGGAAGAGAAGGGTCTGTTTTGTTTGGTGATAATAAAAGTGGTTATGTCCTGAGCTACATGTTCAAAATTAAAGATAGTCAGGCAAGAGGTTTTCATAGATGGTACAGCTTTATATTTTTAATGACAGATAGAGTATATCTTGTTGAGTCCTGGCCATTGATAGTTAGGTTAGTAATTTTTTTTGTATTTTTTTATTTTTTTATTTTTTTTTTTTTTACAATTGAACGTTAATTAACTGTTTCATTTTTAATTATGGTTTTAAAAGTAAGTTTCGTATGATTGCAACAGAAATTCAATCGAAAGCAAATTTGGTTTTCGAAAAAGAGGATGCAGCAAAGGAGGACAGAAACGATGGGACATTTTTGACACGTTCCGGACCACTTCCTCCTACATCGCCAGGTTTGGAACTGACACATATATATATATATTTATTTATTTTCTATAATTATAATTATAATTGACTTGAAATTTTAACTAGATCAATTCCTTCGACGCAGAGCAAATCAACCATTAAGATCTTTGGTTGACTTATTAAAATCAAAGGTTGATTTATGTCAAAATGGAATTCATCAAAATTATGTTTTTTTTTTTTTTGTTTGTCTGATAAATTTTTAACCTATCGAAAAAAAAAATATATATATATAATAAAAAAAAAAGGACTTGTTTGTCAAATTACATGCAAATTTCAGTTGGATCTTAAAAGCTTGCGGCAGACGTTTACAAGAAGGGCATGTAAATGATCAAACACTGGTAAATTTATCATCGTTATTTTTAAAAATTGTATATTATATAGTTTTGTGATTTTTTGAAACTTTAACGTATACTTTTTTATTTAGTTTCCGAGTTCTGTGTTCTCACCAAAGACGATAATGTTACTTGATCCCATGACAACTTACCAACCCCCGCCTTTTGGTTTAAATGGTTTGAAAGGAGATTATGAAGTCATGATTGGGGATTTGAAAACTTTACAAAGTATTTTGGGTTTAAATGCTTTTAGAAAACTAATTTTGAATTTTGTCAAGGGTAATCAATTAGTATTCAGAGGAAATGACCCGATAATTATGCGATGTATTATTAATGTATTGAAGGTTAGTAATAATATTCAAACAATCATTATTAATTATATATTAATATATTTATAATCATACTTTTCTTATTTTTTTTTTTTTTAAAAAAAAAAGGATTTAGTTCCAAGTGAATGTTGTTCAATAGTGGAAAATGAAAATAATTATCAACCCATAACAAAATGTAATATTCTCGGGCTAAATGCAACAGCACAAATACCAAATCATATAAACAAGTCAACTCTGTGTTTGTTAGATATCCTTAAATTATGAAACTTTTTTAATTTTTAAAGAAATTAAATTATTTAGAAACCTTAACATTTGCAAACATATTTCACAAGACTGTGATAAACCACTTAAAGATGATAAGACCGTAATGAATACATTCAAGTTTAATATACAGTATGGTATTGATGATAACCGTAATCATTCTGCACCCAATTCATTTATAAATCAATTGGCAGGAATTTTGAAATTAAATTTGCCAAATGAATTAATGAATACTAGATTAATGATCTTTAAAGAACAATGGTCATGGTATGTTAATTTATATTTTTTGCAGTTTGTCACTTTTATTAATAATTCATTTACTCTATATATCCACAGTAAAGCAAAGCAGTTTCTCCGATTTGTTACAGGAAATGTTTATGGAGGGAATGTCTTACCAAATATTGATTTGAATAAACAAATAGAATTTATTAAACGAATTGATATAAACGAAAATGATTTACCAATTGTGAAATTTTGGACAGGACATTTAACGACTAAATGAATGTCTGTGTTTCAACTCTTAATTTTACTTTTTGTGTTTTTGGATTTTAATTAATTTAGATTTCTTTTTTGATATTTTTGTTAGATTATGAATAGATGTTGTTCTATAGACTTTTAGAGATTGTTATTTATTTATTGATTGTTATTAGATTAAATTAGATTAATAATCCTCTTAATACTTAAATTCTAATTTGATGTCATTTAATATAATCACGTGATTATATTAATTTAATTTTAATAAACTTCGTAAGGATATACTACTAAGAATTTCGATCTATTTATTTTGTATTCAATAAAACAATTTGTATTATTTATATAATAAAAGTTTTTGAAGTACCAAAAGAATTAAATGTTATCAAGATAGTCTCAATTGTTTTCAAGTCTTTACCGGGATTTTTACATGAAGAAATGAAAGTTTTTTTTTAATCGATTATGAATTATGATTAAAAGGTTCTAATAGTTAGTACGATATAAAAATACTGATGAATTAACAAAGTTCAATTTTAAGAAAATAGTAGATTTATGAGTTTCACCTTTACAAACAGAAAGGTAATGAATTAATATATTTTATTTAAATAAATTTGAATATATGCTTAATAGATGTAAATCAGACATGACACCTACTTAGAATTTACTCAGTTATAATTTTAATAAAAATATGTTTGATTCAGAAATAATTGAATTCAATGTACTAATGAAAGCCAGAGAAGAAGCAATGAAAATATTAGGAGACCTCAAAAGCCTTCCGACATTAAACATTTAATTAAAAACTTAATTATATTATCCATTTATTTTCTTTTCTTTTTTTTTCATAAAAAAAAAAAAAAGGAATTGAAAGATTACTAACGTTACCTTATACTTTTCACATTTTAAAGAACGCTTATGTTCTTAATGGTAAAGAAATACAAGTTTAGACCTGAAAGATTTGTTTTGAGAAAAATTGCTTTTGTGTAAATCGGAACAAAAAACTTTCTAAAACGAACGGAACAGCGCGTTATTATTGAAACAATTTCAACTTTATTTTTCCTTTTGTCAAACCTCTAAAATGCACTCACTATATGTTTCTCCCTAAATGCACTCTCTCATTCAGTCCCAAGCGTATAGAGAACATATAAAAATTTTCTCTTTAAATACACACCCTCTTTAAATGCACATTTTTCAAATTTTCACTATGTCCCGGGGGGAGGCATTAAGATGTATTATGATCGCTTAATCCGAAAAATCTTAAGCTCGTATATTCAAATTAGCATAATCGATTTTGAAAGTGCTGCGTCACACTTCATTTTTTCAGAATTATCCATTTGGAGAATATACAAGAGAAATAATGCTTCAATACAAAAAATTTCTGTCAATTCTTTAGGTAACCTATTGAGATGGGAAAAACTTTTTCAGCCTAAAACGCGGGATATTATAGATAAATTGTAATTTATGACAAATTGTTTTCAATTTTTTAAAAAAAAAAACCGGAAGAACTGCTTCGTGAAGTAATTATTGGAACGCAAAAAAAAAAAAATTTATAATTTGATATGCATGCATGTTTTTGTATATTTGTTTTTTTTTTTTATTTTTATAATTTTTTTTTTCTTTATTAGTATCGTATCGTATTAAAATGGAATCGCAAGGCACGTAATGAGAGTGGGGATTATGATATGAAGTGATCATTATAATAAATTATTTAATTTAATAATTCCGTTATCATTTATAATCATACAAAGCGCGAGAGTAAAAATAATCATCGGGACTTTGAGTAGGGGTAAATGAGGCGGGATCGAGAGAATACGTTGTAGTTGTATTTTTGGTAAGTTGCAAATTCAATTCCACCACAGGAGATTTCGATGAAGGGTCCTTCGTGGTATGGGCAATTTGAGGATTTCTCACCAATTCATCAATTTCCTTCAAAATAGCGGGGGTATTTAACATTTTAGCATCCTTGTCATATTGATCATATTGACTGATAATAGTAATTTTCTTATTTCGATCTTTCTTTGTCCATTTACGAGAACGAATATGAGCCAAGATAACTTTTACAAAAGTCCAACACAAGAATTGAACCCAACCGAGGGCGGTGATTGCTTTTCCAAATGATAATAAATTATCGGTATCAGGAATAGCTTCTTCTGAAGAATAATCAGTTTGTAATTCATGAACTTCTTCTTGTAATTGATCAGTCATGTTCTTTGAATCAATTATAGATCCATTATTAACTCTAACCAAAATTACAATTGAAATTATAAACCAAACAATTGATAAGAATGTAACTGTTAAATATACAAAAACTTTATATCCAAATTTACGTGAAATTTTGGGAAAACTTAAAACGGTCGAAAATATAAGTGAAATTATGCTAAAAATGAAACCAAAGTAAATTTCCATTGGAAAGTTTGGTGATGAATGGAATGGCTTGTTGGTGATTTGCTTGTAATATGAATCGAATGAGGTGGAAAACGAATTTGTGGAGGAGACCCAGGCGGAAAGCAATGAAATGATGATTAACGAGAAAAGTGAGAGAAGGGGATAAAGTATACGAAGGGTAGTGAATGGCCAAGACATATTTACAAATTGTGGTAAGGAATATTAATGTACAAAGTATTAAATGTATATTTATATATATATATATATATATATTATGTACTTGGCCTAGCGTAAATAAGGCGGCAGGAGAAGTTGGATGGAGGAAGGGATGGAGGATGGATGGATGGAGGATGGATAGGGGAGGGGAAGAATAAAGAGTGAGTACAGATGGTTGGAGTCGACGAACGGTCGATGGTAAACGTTACGAAACGATGAGAGATAAATGCGTTACAACGAATAACAAAATCCAACAGCATTCTTATAACGATTAGGAATCGCGTGGTAACACAAAAATAAACAAATTATTAAATTGGCTAATTTGGTTATCAATTTAATAATGTGAACAACGGATAGAAATAACTATGGAATCATCTCATTTTCTTTTACTGATTGGTGTCAAGCATTCGCATGTGGAATGAGAGATTTGTGCAATCAAACAAGGATGGAATGACTTTTTGAACGTATTTATACATTAAATAGCATAGCAGATGATTTGTGCCGGCTCAATCTGGCCAATAAGAAACGGTCTTGGTTAATAATTGTGTGTCGGAAAATTTTTTTCAATAACATCCTTAAATGACAATGTTAGAGTTCGGATTGTTGCTTTAATATTTATTAAAGTTGTTTAAATCATTGTTTTATTTATTTATAATTTTTTTTACAGTATTTTATAACAAAACTACTTGCATGCTTAATTGGCCAATCAAAATTCGTTGCGAAAAATTTATAATTGGGAAGACATTCATCAAAGAAATGAAAGTGCTAGACAAGATAATTTGATAGGACCGTATAATCATTCAAGAGCCAAGACAAAAGAAGAGAGCATGTAATAGCAGAAAGTTATAAGAAAATTTCGACTTTATTAAATCATTAAATCCTAACTTCAACAATTTAATATAATAATGACTGGAGAAATTATTTTGATTTACAAAAATGACAATTGTGCGGCGAAAGATAAAAATACATTCGAGATTAATAGTTCGTAACAAGAACTATGTTAACAATGAATATTTACATTCAAAAGTAACATTACATTATATAATTCCTCCAATATTCAGGAAATATAACAAATAAGGAAAAAGAAGAAAAGAAATAAAAGGTCAAAAATGATTATTTAAAAACCGCATAATTAAATACTCTATCATAAAAATCTAATCCATCATTTGTTTCGTTTTCGTTATAGAAAAGAAACATTAGAGATTGAAATAAATCTATGATGGTTAAACCTTTCTACACCGTCTCGTTTGTAGTGTGGTTCTTCTTTGATTCGCAATATGGCTTCGGCAACGACGTCACGTTTATTAACTAATTATAATGAATTTGAAAAATAAATAATTAAAATTTAAGAGATTTATAATAATTTTATGGATACGAATTTGAAGTTTCAAGTTCTCCTTACGTTCAGCGACTGTCAAAGCCACCGCTGCAAATGCGTTGCAAAGGACGATTTAATTTATTTTTTCTTTTCAAACTTTTACTTATTTATTTGATAAAGAACTGAAGAACTGACTTTGAAAGGGAATTAGGAAGGGTTTATATACTTGTTGAATTCTTATATAAGGATGTTTTGATTAGGGAGTTAATATTGAGGTAAAAGATTTTCTAAAGATGGATTAAAGTTATTTTTAGTTCAAGTATACAAAGGGATAATCATTGTTCAGGTTTTTTTTTTTAAAAAAAAAAAGACTCTTGAGTATATGAATTTACCAAATTTAGTATACCTATAAATGCTTTTAATAATTACACGCTTGGTTTTTTTTTTTTTTTTAAAAAAAAAAATAAAAATAAAAAAAAAGATCGTTACAATGAAAATACTCGAATTGGATAATAGGGAAATGTCTAAACGTTGATTTGAAATTATATTTTTATCAAATAAGATATATATATATATATTTTTTTTTTTAAAAAAAGAAAAAAAAATTTGTTTCTAAGTTTAGATTTGTTGAAGAAATTTTGAATTACGAAAACGTTACCCAACATGATTTGATTGAATATGGTAAACTCATTGATGCTTCAAACGCGTAAAAAAAAAAAAAAAAAAAAAAATTTCTGAAATCGCACGACAAATTATTTCCATAATCGGTTAGAGTTTACTTAGGAAGGTTACAATTTTTTAAAAAAAAGAATATTTTAAAGGAGAATTTAACGCGACTTACTTTGGTGCTCAATTTAATATTATGAACACAAGCAAAAAAACGATTGACACAAAAAATTACTCTAATAATAAATATTAATAAAAGAATTCCAATAAGGAAATTAATGAAAAAAGGAAAGCGCACGCAATTAATGAATTTCAAATTCAATATTTGGTTAAAATGAAGATCTTAAGTCTAATCAAACAGGAAAAAAATAAATGTAGAGATTTCATAATTAAATCGCTGGGAATTGGGTTTGAGGATGTAGATTAAATATTATTCATTTTGTCATGTT